GCACTGGGTGTTATATGCAAACAATGAATCATGGAACACTACATCAAAAACTAATGATGTAATGTATGGTGATTAACATAACATAATAAAATAAAATTAAAACAAAACAAAACAGAACAATGTCTCTGCTCCAAATAAGTCAAGGTCAAAATAAACGAAGAGCTCAAGATGACATCCGTCCTATTTGTCTAAGTCCTGGTGTTGTGTGGATGAAAAGCAACAGCCAGGTATGACAACAGGTGACACACCCAAAGTAAAAGCCAAATTTGTTAACATTTTTCCATTTCTAAACCATCCCTAAAGAAAATCACATGTGGGTTCACACGATCTTCACGGTAGTCCAGCAGAGCAACCATGCCATTTGGATTCATGTTTTCACTAATAAAGAACTGGTAGTTCTTAAAATTTGCAAAAAAAAAAAATAAAATAAATAAAATAAGGATAAAAATAGCTGTAAAGGTTAAATGAAATGAATGAGTAATGCATTTTAGCAAAGTATCTGATATTTTAAGTCTTTAAAAAATATTAGGTGCTGCTTTTATTTCTGGTATATACATATTTAGTACACAAGGACAAGAGTTGGCATACTACAACCCACTGGGTGAACTCTGTCCATCACCTACTTTTTTAAGATGAAGTTTATTTATTTTTTTAAAGATTTTATTTATTTATTTGACAGAGAGAGAGACAGCAAGAGAGGGAACACAAGCAGGGGGAGTGGGAGAGGGAAAAGCCTTCCTGCTGAGCAGGGAGCCCAATGCGGGGCTTGATCCCAGAACCCTGGGATCATGACCTGAGCCGAAGGCAGACGCTTAATGACTGAGCCACCCAGGCACCCCTTTAAGATAAAGTTTAATTAGAATAGCTAAATTTAGCCAGTGTGCATTGCCTATGGCTGCTTTCATGCAATAATGGCCTGAGTAGTCGCAAAAGAGACCGGATAGCCCAGAAGGCGTAAAATGCTTGTTATCTGTTTTTTTTCATAAGAAATTTGCTGATCTGGGGCACCTGGGTGGCTCAGTCAGTTAAGCATCTGCCTTCAGTTCAGGTCATGATCCCAGGGTCCTGAGAGCTCCCTGCGCAGCAGGGAGTCTACTTCTCCCTCTCCCTCTGTGTGCTCGCTCGCACACTCTCTCTTTCAAATGAATAAATCAATCTTAAAAAAAAAAAAGAAAAAAGAAATTTGTTGATCTGTACCTTCAGTGAGAAAAACAAACTAAAACGGCACTTAGCATGCGACTCTTGATCTTGGGGTGGTGGTTCAAGCCCCACATTGGGTGTAGAGATTACTTAAAGATATAATCTTTTTTAAAAAGAAAAGAAAAAGAAAAACAAACTAAAAATACAATGCTATAAAATGTTAAAATAGGGGCGCCTGGGTGGCTCAGTCGTTAAGCGTCTGCCTTCAACTCAGGTCATGATCCCAGGGTCCTGGGATTGAGCCCCGAATCAGGCTCCCTGCTCGGCGGAGAGCCTGCTTCTCCCTCTCCCACTCCTCCTGCTTGTGTTCCCTCTCTTGCTGTCTCTCTCTCTCTGTCAAAATAAATAAATAAAATCTTTAAAAAAAAAAAGTTAAAATAGATGTAAATGGGGCAAGATAATCAAGTTAGCTGGTTTCCATCTATCTCAATAAATTCAAAGCAATTGAAAACCATATGGTAATTTTCCTTTCCCTGAGAAAGTAAGCATTTCAAACCTGAAAATGTCCTTAGAGGTTCTAGGTTAAAATATTTTTTTTCCAAATGGAAATACAAATTTGAGAATTACATGAATAGACTATACCTAAAGAATTTACTATTATCACTCCAGATGTAGTTAATGCAATGCATTAAGGAAGGCATTCACTGCTTTGGGTCATAAGCAAAGCATATTTTTCCAAAATAAATCACATGAAAAGTATATTTAAGAAATCTCTCTGTAAAAGGAACTATGTAAAGTACTATAAAGAATTCACAAAAGACAAGACTGAGTAAACTTAAAACACAATCTAAAGGAGTAGAAAAATAATCTCAAGGCTTATAAAAACCAGAGTTAAGTGCATTTCGCTATAATTTCTATATTTCTTTCAACTTTATGTAAATAAAATAGATAAAATAAATAGATCACTTTGTCCACTTAACAGAGATACAAATCAAAAAATCCAAAAATGTATTACCTGAACTGGATGTTTACTAAATGAGGCTGGGAGCCATCTGATTGCCAATAAGTCTCAAGATTGTCATCTCGTAATTGATCCACTCCAAATCCTAAAACACAAGTAACAGTAAGTTCTCAAGAACAAGAAAGAGCTATATATTCCAAATATAAAGTTATCATTCACATTTGTCTAGAAAATGTGATAGATAGGATGGTCAATACTGTAAAATTTAAATTAACTAGAATTCTTCCATCCTCTTCACCAGACCTCAACTCTTAGAATATGCACACAAAAGTTTATATTAGAGCAAGTGTTCTTGGTTGTTGGCTTTAATTTTTAAAGAATGTCTTCTAAATATACTCTAAAGACAGCACGTATTCAAACCCAGTTTTTTACACTTTCTACAAGGTGGTAGTAAGAATGATCCTCATGTCCTGCAAAATCAGATTTTATTAAGTCCAATATGTCATATATCCTTCTATGGCAACAAAAAGGACAACTTAGAAATATTTTCAAAAGTCATACACATTTTGAAACCAAGTGTTTCTGATTAATCAAAAATTAAATTTGCCCAGAATCTCATATCACCTAGCCATTCTACATAACCGAAGTAAAAATATCCCGTATTGTTTTTTCTTGATTAAAATCATTATAATGCATACTAATTATGGAAATAACTTAATGGTAAAGTATGGATTTCTCAAATATATTTAAGAGAAATAAATTTAATTTACATTTTAATTTTTTCACTAAGTACTATATTCATCATGGATCAAATTCCGAAGGTAGAAAAAAGAACATTGTGAAAAGTCTCTATTCCCCCTCCCACTATCTAGTTTCCCTCTCCAAATATAATCAGTGTTATCAGTTTTTTACATACTATTTCACAAATACTGTACACATATATAAGCAAATGCATATATATTCTCTTTCCCCTCTACATAAATAATGGCATACCTCACAAAGTTCTACACTTTGCATTTCTTTTTCACTTAACATATCTAGAAGATTCTTCAATATCAATAATAATAATAATAGCAGCAAACACTGATATCACATTTACTATGTGCCAGACACAGTCTAAGTATCTTACATGATTATATTATGTTAATATTTATTTAACCCATATAAAAACTCAGTTAACCTAAACAGCTCCCACATTTTTTAAAAGTTATACAGTATCTCGCTGTCTGGAAATATCATAATTATTTAACGAAAACCCTAGAGGACATTTAGGCTGTTTCCAATGTTTTCCTGTTAAAACAACACTGCAGTAAACATCTACCTATCTATAATCTTTAAGTGCGTATTAGTATTTCTGGAGGATGGATTTCTAGGAATAGAACCCTGGGTCATTTAAATTTTTAATTTGATAAATATCGCCAAATTTTCCTCCAAAATGCATCTTCACCGATAATGTACAAAAACACCTATTCCTCTACGTAACCAGTAAAAATTAGGGTATTCTGAAATCTTTACATTAGGTTTTGAAGACATAGTATAAAGATATTAAGTATCTATTTAATAAGTTTTTTTTTAAGATTTTATTTATTTATTTGACAGAGAGAAAGACAGTGAGAGAGGGAACACAAGCAGGGGGAGTGGAAGAGGGAGAAGCAGGCTTCCCGCTGAGCAGGGAACCGGATGCGGGGCTCAATCCCAGGACCCTGGGATCATGACCTGAGCCGAAGGCAGATGCTTAACGACTGAGCCACCCAGGCACCCCTATTTAATAAGTTTTTATATTGATTAGATATTGAAATCATTTTGGACATACTGAGACAAAATAATGGAAGTTAATTGTAACTTTTTTAATTTTAATATGGGTACTAGATAATTTTAAATTACATATGTGGTTTGCATTAATTTCTGTTGGACAGCTCTGCTGTGTACTCATGTTAAAATGCAATCATTCTTTCACGTATTTACTAACCTGATAGGTGAAAAATTTTATTTCAAACTTTCATTGATCATTTTTATTTTTTCTCATAGAAAATACCTATTCATAATCTCCTATATTTTCACTGTACTTTGGTCTTTTTATTGCTTTATAACTCTTCTACTATTATAGATATTAACCCCATGTCTGTTCCACGTGATCCAAATATGCTCTCCCCAGTCTGCGATTTGTATCTTAAATTTGCACATGCTGCCTTTACAGTATATACTAGTGAATGAGAGGGGTCTTCCCAGAGAAAATAATTTTTGCATTGTATTCTGAAGTACTAATAGGAGTTAGCTAGGTAAAGAGGTAGAAGAGCAAGGTTAGAGAGCATTCAGTAAAGAGAAAAACATGTAATGGCATGGGAAAAGAAAAGTGGAATCTATAGGAAACAAAGGTAGGTCCTTTTGGGAGCTAAGGCTATACACTTTGGATTAAATCAGGAAATGAGTCAGAGACATATGAAAGGAGTCAGATCATACAGACTCTAGTGCACTAAGAGATGAAGTATAAATTGTCTTGAAAAATACACCAACCTACTGAAGAATTTTTAGTAGGTAAGTTATATGATCAGGAAATAATCAGATCAGGGTCTTCAGATAGATTCTTCAATGTCAGGAAGGGAGAATGCCATGGTAAGCCATTGCACGTGATGATGGTCTGAATTCAGACAGTGACCAAAGCAAATGTTCGAAAAATAGCTTTCTATTGCCCCAAAGAAAATCTTCTAAAAATATAAAAACTGAGCTCCTCCATTACTCACTCTGTAACTCTTGGATCTGCGCTGTACAATATGGTAGCCACTAGCCACATGTGGCTACTGAACACTTGAAATACAGCTAGTTCAACTTTAGATTTGCTATACACATTGGTTTTTAAAGACTAGTAAGAAATACAAAATATCTCATTAATAATAAGTCTACTTATATTGGATTAAAAACATATTACAACTAATTTCACCAATTTATCCTTTTTAATGTAGCTACTAGAAAAATTCAAATTACACATGCAACTTGCATTATACTCCTATTGACAGTGCTACCTTAGACCATGCTTCTATTCTTTCTTTATACATTATTTTTAGGGCTAATCCAGAATATTTATTTCTGCAAGTTATAAGATAAAAAGTTGTTTTGCTACCAATATAAAGAGTTCTTAAGTTTTAAATACCTTTTTCTTCTTACCAGCTTATGAGTTCCCTAACAGAAGATAACTCAGTTATACGACTCTTCCTTAAGAGCTCCACCATTAAATGTTCTATAATTAAAAGACCTTTTGACACTAACTTTATTTTAGCTATTTAGCTAGTTTTTCTTTCTCTTCATTTCACAGTTTTACCTGTGTGAGCTCAAAGAATTTCATAAGATGGTGTTTGTTCTTAACAAGCAAAATAAACATTAAACAAAAAACCTGAATAACTTACCCAGAATAAGAGATGTCCTATAACTCAAGACTAATCATTTTAAATTTGTTTCTAAGATACTGCTTAGGAAACTACAACAGTACAACTAAGTAGGTGCAATCTCTGCAATCTCATCAAGAACCAATCAGTCTAAATCTTTACCTCTGGAGTACTAAGTATGATTATCAGCTTCTACTTCTTCAAAATATATCTCACAAACAGAACATTTTACAAACATCTGTTTACGTGCCAATGCCATGACTCATAGAGTAAACTTCTTTTCCAAAGCTTCCCACTCAGTATTATACCTCGATTCTTCTAGTCCAAGCAAAAAAACTAAAAGACCAATTTGTGATAAGTGCTTTAACAGGTACCATGATAATGCACACAAATGATATTATCCAGAAAAAAACTTCTGTATGATGTACTGATTCTTAAAGCGGTGGTTCTCACAGTATGGTCCTTGGACCAGCAGCATCACTGTCATCTGGGAACTTGTTAGGAATTCTAGAACTACATCAGAAACTTTCAGAGTTAACCCCTTTGAGAGTCTGTATTTTAATAAATCCTATAGATGATTCTGATGCATGCTAAAATTTTAGAACTACTATTTTATGGCAAGTCTTCTCAACCTGGGCATTAATGATAGTGTGCACTGGATAATTCTTTCAGGGGCAGGGGATACCCTGTGCATTATAGGGTATTTAGCAGCATCTTTGGCCTCTATCCACTAGCTGTCAGTCACAATCCTCCCCATGCCAGCAGTTATATCAATCAAAAACATCTACAGACATTACCAAATGTCTCCTATGGGGCAAAATCATCCCCAGATGAGAACCACTTCTCTAAGGAAAAGAAAACCAGCATTCACCTACGGTTACTGTTATTGCTTAGTAAATATCCACCCTTCTCTACCCATCCTCCATGGGAAGAAATTGATTCTGCACTCATCATACTGGAGCTTAATCATGACTTGTTTTGGTCAACACGATGTGAATGAATGTGACACAAACACTGGTTTAATTTAATTTATTTTTAAAGATTTTATTTATTTATTTGAGAGAGAGAGAGAGAAACTGAGAGAGAGAGGGAGAGCATGAATTGGGGGAGAAGCAGAGGGAAAGAGAGGGACAAGCAGACTCTGAACTGGGCTTGGAGCCTGAGGTAGGGCTCATCCCAGGACCCCGAGATCATGACCTAAGCCAAAATCAAAAGCTGAACACTCAACTGACCAAGCCACCCAGGCACCCCCAAACAGAGGTTTTAAATGTGCTTGCAAGGTCTGGCTTGGCCTTTTAAATTTTGGCACCCCACTAAGACATCATGCCTGAACACATGGAGCAGGCCTGGACCCAATTCACAACCTAGAGCCAAGTCATAACCAAGCAAAAAATAAGTTCTCTTGTTATAATATAGCACTGAGAGATTAGGGTTGTTTGTTACACACCATTAGTGCAGCAAGAGCTGACTAACACATCAATATATGAGATAAATTTGACTAGCCCAGCTTAGATTGCCTTTAGGAGTAAAACAGCCATTGCCACCTAAAACATATCTTTTAACACAAATCCCTCACACTTGCTAAGGCATTATTATAACTAGGGCATTGCCTTTACTCTGAAGACACAAAGATAGAGAACATGCGGTCTCTGTGGAGGAGTTCATCTATCTAATGCACTATCTATGCTGTGACTATTTACATTTAAACTAATTAAAAATAAATAAAATTTAAAATTTGATTTCTCAGTAACACTAGTCACATTTA